ACCTTAAAAGGAATGAGTGTGCACTCCCCTTCCCTTTCCTCCTTCTCACTGCCCAGGATGCAAATATGATGGCAGGAGCTGGAGCAGCCAACCTGGAACCCAGAGATGGAAGCCATATGTTGAGAATGGCAGAGATACTCTACCAGTTCTGGACTGCTTACCACTGGACTACTGTGTAAGAGAGAATCAAAATTCTGTCTTGTTTAAGTCACCATATTTTGGGGTCTTTTGACTACCTAGACTATACTCTAAGTAATACAGCTTTGTGCCACTACATTTACCCAGAAGCCTGTACTTCCTTGTTATTTGTACTTATTTGTGGGTTTTTTTATTTCAAATTTTATGTTTTATGTCTTCCTTTTTTCAAATTAAACTGTTGGCTAGTGGTTTGTCTAATGTTTCTTTTTCAAAGAACCAGTTTATGGATTTATTTATTCTGGTGTCCTTAGAGTTTTGAGATTATTTTTGCTACCTTTACACTTGAATGAATTTCTAGCCATTTATGGAATTATTGGGTCACATCTTTTCCTCCTCAACATTCCTTCTACATTGTCCCATTGTCTTATGCCATCTAAAATTGCTGAAAAGAAGTCTGAGGATAGTCTCACTGTATTCCCTTTTTTTGTTATTTATGAGGAAGATCAGCCCTGAGCTAACATCCATGCCAATGCTCCTCTTTTTGCTGAGGAAGACTGGCCCTGATCTAACATCTGTGCCGATCTTCCTTCACTTTATGTGGGACACCGCCACAGCATGGCCTGACAAGGGGTGCGTCTGTGCGCACCTGGGATCCGAACCGGGGCTGCCAGCAGCAGAGCGCAAGCACTTAACCGCTACACCACAGGGCCGGCCCCTCATTTTATTCCCCTTGTTAGACTGTCGGCTCCTCTGTCTGGATGTTTGTAGTAGAATGCGTCTGCTATCTCTAAGATTTAGGAACTTCACAAGAACCATTCTGGTCTCAATGATTTCTTTGCTCAATTTACCTGGAATATAGTAAATCCTGTTCATTTGCCAAATTGAGTCTTCTTGTTTCAGAAATGGCTTTTTCTTTTATGTTTTTGACTACTTTTTCAATTCCATTTGTTCTGTCTTTGTTGGGGACTCTAGCTGTATGTTGGATCAACATAAATGTCTTACAGATCTATCATTTTCATTCCAGTCAGTTCATCCCTTTGCCCTTCTTGGCTGTGTTCTGTGTGACATTCTCAATGCTGTCCATTTCACTGACTCAGTTTTCTGTCATGTCAACTCTACTTCTTGTGGCTTCTAATGTGACTTACAGATATCGAGTGGGTTTTTTTTCTATTCTTTCCTTAACTTTTCAAGTCCTCTCTTCATGTAATTTTGATCTCTCTGATTTTTTTTGTTTCATAGGGTCCCATACTGTATTTAATTTCCTTGAAAATGTAAAGAAGATTCTTTTCAAAGACTTTATTCTATTTCCTGGAATCATTTTTCTTCTGATATGTATTCTCTGTATGTATTTTCCTACAGACACTCATTAGGAGAAGAGAGTACTATCTCACATAGATCCTATGGTAGCCCTTTACCAAGAAATAGTGATGATTTTAGTTTTAAAAAGTGCTTATCTGAACCCATCAGCCCTTTAGATATAAGTTCTGTTTCACAGGAAATATAGTGGCTAGAGAAGCAAGCTAAACACCACAAGGAAGTAACCAGACAAATCCAGAAGGTGGGACATTCTGTAGGACAACTGACTCCATTGCTTCTACTAGTAAGTGCCCATAAAAGGGACGGTACTAGATTAAAATAAACTCAAGGGGAATGTGTGGTCCTGGATTGGATACTGATTTGGATAAAGCAGCTGTAAGAATAATTGGAGTTAACTGGAGAAATTTTAATATGGCCTGGAAAGTAAATGAGATGAGAAGAAAGTATGCCAAAATGCAAAGGTAGAGAGTGTTTACTAAATAAAACAGGTTATAAAAAGGTTATAAAACAATTTTTAGAGTATGATCTCATTCGAGTATGCACACACGTAGTTGTCACAGTGATGTTTTCTCGGAGGTAGGAATATGCTGTTTGTTTTTTATTTATTTTATTTTTTTTGCTGAGGAAGATTTGCCCTGAGCTAACATCTGCTGCCAATCTTCCTCTTTTCATATGTGAGCTGCTGCCACAGCATGGCCACTGACAGACAAGCAGTGTAGGTCCACACCCGGGAACCAAACCCGGGCCACCGAAGTAGAGCGTGCTGAACTTAACCACCAGGCCACCAGGGCTGGCCTCTGTTTGTTTTTTAAACTTGTCTGTATTTTCTCATGTTCTGCAAAGCACATATACTGCTTACATAATAAAGATTTTTTAAACAGGGCCACAGATTTAAATGAGACAGATTTACTAGGAAGATAATAAAGTTTAGCCTTCAGCGTCCCTTACTCGCACAGGCCCTTCCAAGGCCCTAAGAGGACCTCTAGCAATTTTGTATCATACTTTTGAGGGATTTTTAAATTTTATGTTCCAGCATTTTTTTGTTGTGGTAAAATATACAATTTACTATTTTAACCATTTTTAGGTTTATAGTTCAGTGGCATTACAGACATTCACATTGTTGTGCAACCATCGCCACCACCCACCTCCAGGACTTTGTCATCTTTCCAAACTGAAACTCTGTACCTATTAAATAATAACTCCTGATTCTCCCCTCCAGCCAGTCTTTTTGTTTTTAAGAGTCTCTAAAATTGTATAAGCTTTAAACCCCACAAAACCTGGATCCAGTCCCAACTGACAACCAGATCCCCTAGTCATGCCTGAGCAAGCTTTGAAATGATATCTGACACTGCCAAGGTGACTTTAACCTCAAACCAAAGGACAATCAACACAGTCGAGGAGATTGCCACCAAAGTGCTCATGGCCGAATGTGCAAAAGGCAACGATTGTGGCAGCATCAGCATCACTGAATACACCGAGACAAAAGCAATGAGTTTCTTATATAATTGGAATATACATTTATACAACTTTCCCCAGAAGCTACAAGTTTGTCATCTTAAGGTCCTAATTTCTTCTAAATTAATCTTATTTTCTTCACTGCTTAGAATTATTGGTAAATAGGACCATCATTTCCTGTAAAATCAGTCCAGAAGAGTAGATAGGAGTTTTATATAGTTGTATCAGCTAGTTTTAAGTCTGGCTCAATATACCAGAAAACCCTAATTTATGTCTCTCATACTTAAAAGAAATCTGGAAGTACACAGTCCAGAACTGGTATGATAGTTTTGTGATCATCAAAGAAATGGAGGACTTTTATCTTACTATGCTACTATCCTTAGCATGCCACTTCACAGCCAATAGGGCTGCTCAGGCTCCAGCCATCAAGTCTGTATTCCAGCCAGAATAAAAAAAGCAAGGAGTGAAAAAGACATGCCCCCTTCCTACAATGATTCCTCACAGAAATTGCACCTAACACTTGAGCTAACATCTCTTTTGCCAGAACATAGTCATATGGCCTTATCTAGCTGTAAGGTAGGCCAGGAAATACAATCTTTATTCCAGAAACATGTGCCCAACTGAAAATCAGACATTCTATTACTCAGTGAATGAAGAGAATGGATATTGGGATAGGCAACTAAGCATCTGTCAGACAGTTTTTAAAAAGATTCGGTGGGCTAGTTTTTGAGGTTTGGTGGGGGCAGGTAGGAAGGGATAGACATCTTAAAGCACTATTTATATCATTGCTTAGTATTTTGTTTAGAGCTAAAAGCTCGCTTTCTTAATTAGTTTTCTAGACTGGGTCTAAAGCCTCTTCCACACACCACAGAAGTGGACTCAATAGGCTTGAATGGAAAGCAGAAAAAGTCTGTTTACAATTTCTGTCTGTTTTGAAAACAGTTTCTGTTTCAATCTTCTCAGTTGAAGGGGACTTTTGAATGTCTCAGTGGCCAAATACGTCCAAACCATACATCTAAGCCAGGAAGCTTTCCTGTTGTGGGTAAGCTTTAACCGTGAAAAGCATCACGCCGGTTTATTAATTACTGCCGCTTTTGTACTGTGTTTTCCGTTTCCAGGGAAATGCAAACCACAGGACGTGGTCTCTCACCCCATCCTCAGAGATTGTTACCATGGAGGACACTTTTCCCACATGGTAAACAAAAGAAAATGAGGAACGTGGGCTCAGAAGTTGTTTTCCCGACCTGGAAGCTGTTACAGGTGCTTGAGCGGGGGTGTAAGAGAAATGCCCAGACGAGGGGCTGATGGAGCCAGATGAGGAAAGCCTCAGGACCCCTTCAGCCTCTCCCTGACTTGATAACGAGATACCAAAATAAACCTCCATGCTTGTCTGCTGCATTTTTGGTTGTCAAATTGCTTTTCTAACTTGATTGCATTTGACCTTGATGGTTAATACATTATTTAATAAATTCTGGAATTCTGTACAAATTAGAATATGATTTCTCCCTGAAATGGACTTGAGTAGTGGGCAGCCTGCTTGGTTCTTTGACCTGATCTAGCCACCCCAGGATTTGGGCTCTTTCTTCCTCTGGCTCAGGGATGAAGAACATTGTCTCTCTGAGAGGGGGGATGGCCTGTTGATCCAGCAGGGCTGCTCAGCAGGGTTCCATTCCTCCAGCTGGCACCCTCACAAAGCCAGCTGCTGGGTAAGAAACTAATTCCTTCTACAGCTCCTTCAGTTTGACCTTCTAAGGAAAATAGGCCCGCAGACGTAACCAGCCATCCATAGCAGAGCACACAGCAGGCACCTACAGCCCTGCAACTCCTTCCAGAACCAGAAAAGGCTACTGCAGATAAACCAGGGTGTGAAGCAGCCCACATTGTGGAAAGCTCAGGAAGGCTGGGTTTTAAGTAGACGACAGCTCTTAAGACTCTTGGGGGTCGGTTGCATTAAGAGTAAGGGAGGGTTGAAAGGCAGGGAGGGTACTTTCCTCTTCTCAGTGGAAGGAGCTTCCCGGCAGCCTTCCTTCCTTGCTTCCTGCCTGGCTCACTGCTTTCTCAGCAAGTTCTGGGGGAGCTGTGTCCTCCGGGCCTGAGAAGGGCTGGGGAATGTCAGGGCATAAACAAGCCAGAAAAGCGCTCTGGAGGAAAAGGGAGGCTCCTCTGCATTTCCCTTTCCCGCAGGCCTGCCCTGGTTTTTCGTGATGTCATCCATTCATCATTGTGATCTGGTTGGCGGTCCCAGGCTTGGCCAGCTGCCCAAGGCCAGGAGGGAAGAGAGAGATCCCAGGACAAACGTGCAGTGGGCCCCTGAACTTGTGCGGAAATGTCATCAATTCCACAGAGAAAGAAGAAGACAGTAAAAGTCACAAGATCCTATCCAACCTTCCCTACCCTGAACGCCTGGGAAGAATTCAGGGGCCTCTTGCCTGTGGATGGGGAGCCAAACCCTGGAGTGGGCCTGGGTGTGGAGGAGGGACTGCTCTGCCAGATGGTTCATTCTCCGGAATTCAACCTGTTTCCTGACTCAGTGGTGTTTGAAAGCAATTTTGTCCAGGTACTCTTGGGTCGCTCCGAATGGCACTCCTTGGGTCGCTCCGAATGGCACTCCTTGGGTCGCTCCGAATGGCACTCCAGATTCTTCTAAACCTGTTCCCAAGATGTGACCAGGAGAGTCTGTCCCTGGGACTGGAGTGGAGTAAGAACCGAGGCGAGGAGAAGTCAGTGGGCCCGGAATGCAAGGCCACCCTCACTTGACCCTGACTTTGCACAGCCCCAGACAGGGCTTCTCCTGCAGACAGGTGTCACTCTGGGGAGAGAGGTCAGGTGTTCGCTGCTCTCAGTGGAGGATTTGGTATCCGAATCCCTCAATTTACTTCCTCCTCCAGGCTGTCAAGCCAAAGCAGACGAACAAAGAAGCAGTGAAACCAGATGCCCTTTGTGGGCTCGGACAGAACTGCTCTTTGGTGAAAGAATAGGAGCTAGGCACCCAGAGAGACCTGGGCTCAAAGTCTAGCCCACTGCTTTCTCGTCGGGAGACGTCATTGAGCAAGTGACCCGTGCACCCTGAATCCCAGTTTCCTCTATTGGAGGAGGGGCTGGACTAGCCTGGTCATTACATGTGAACACGGCAGGCAAAGGCCTTAGTACAGCGGGCACTCGGTGCATTTTTGCTTCCTTGTCCGGGCTCTCCTCCTGCCAGATGGGACCCGGGATAAACAGGACTTGGGAGCTGGAAGGGACCATAGAGTGTGGGAAAGGTGCAGGAGATAACAGAGCCCCTCAAAGAAGGGCCAAAGGACAAGTTTTTCAAAGAAAAGCCAGGACACAGTCTGGGCAGAATTCACAGAAGTGTGACACATGTCAGGGAACTCCTGGGGTATGGTTCTCGTGGGCAATTGCTAGCAGTAGGGAGTATAAATACTATGACAGTTGCTTAACCAACATAGATCAAAACAGTGGTTCTCAACAAGTGATGATTTTGCCACCACCCCCCGACCAGGGGGCATTTGGCAATGTCTGGAGACATTTTTGGTTGTCACAACTTGGGGTGGGAGGGGATATTACTGGCATCTAGTGGGTAGAGGCCAAGGATGCTGCTAAACATCCTACAATGCACAGGACAGCCCTCTCCCCCAAACAAAGAATTATCCAACCCAAAATGTGAACGGTGCCAAGTTTGAGAAATGCTCAGCTAAAACCACTGCTTCTGCCAAATGCTCAGACTGTGCCCGGGGCTGCTTTGCAGGTCAAAAAGGACAGGAAGTGGATAAACATCTACAAAGCCTCCAACACCATGGCCCTCGGGGTCACCTCCTCCGTGCCCTGCCTGCCCCTTCCCAACATCCTCCTCATGGCCAGCGTCAAGTGGCACCAGGGTCAGAGCCAGACGTGGAACAGACCATCCACAGCCCCACACATCATCCTGAAGAGGTAAGCAACACAGACGGGAGCGAAGGACAAGCGAGGTGAGGTGTGGATCCTCGAGGAGCGGAGGCTGCTTTGTGACTAAACTCAGGGTGGGAGAAAGCAGAGACGTCATCAGCAGGGATGTTAATTTTTTTAGACAGGCAGTGCACTGGAAGCATTGAGGCCAAGCGGGGCAAAGGGAGGCGCGAGGGGGACAGGAGTGAGAGGCCAGTCGACATGCCTGCTTTCCTTCCTGCTGCCTGCACCCCACTGAATCTTAGGAAATCTCTCCCCCTTTGGTGGAGGAGCAAGGAAGCCAGGAGGTCTGACAGATGGAGCACTGGTTGGGAGATGCAGGTTCTAGTCAGAAAAATAATTTTTGAGTCATAGGTTACTTGCTGCATTTCAGTTTTCCTCCCAGTAACATGAGTGGAACTAAGTCTCACTTAGAACTGTGACATATAGTGACGTCATGCTTGTCTAGGATGAAACAGCCCTTTTTGATATTTGAGCGTCTTGAGGATATTATCTCAAGAATCTCTAGATATTCCCAGAAGTCCAGGTAAACCCTTCATTTCTCCACGTTGCCTCAGTGCTAAATAAACCTCTCCGTTATATTCTGGGTGTACCTGTAGCCCGGCCCCTGCTGACTGATACCAGATCCAAAGCCAGCTCCTGAACCTTAGCTCCTTAGGGAAGAGTAACTGGGGCATTAAGGTCAGTGACTGGCCAAGCTGGACAGTGGGGCCAACTCTGTGGCAGAGGAGGGCAGCTGCCTTTGTGCTATCAAGAAGGAAACTGAAAAACCCTATGATCCCAGCTACCTTACTCCTAGGCTGTCTCTCCCAAGCAGACTCCAAGGAACACCAGCATGAGCATCATGGCAGGCTGGGTGGAGGTTAAAATGAAGATTCCAGGGCCACAAGCCAGACCTACTGAATCTGAATCTTTGGGGGTGTCTTCAGGTGTCAGCATTTTGAACAAGCTCACCAGGTGAATCTGATCTCCCCAAAGTTTGAGCACCACTGTGCTAAGCACTCTCTCTCCTACCCCCAAAAGGCTCAGTTCTGAAGGAGACACTCCTCATTTTAATAAACATAGTGTCAGATCAGAAGCACTGGGGTCGTCAATGTGTGTCTTCCCTCGTGCCTTCAGGATTCTCCCACTGAAGTTGGTGGAGCTCCAGATCTGTGACCACCTTCAACGCATCCTGCGGTTGAGGACAGTCACTGAGAAGATCTACTACCTAAGGCTCCACCCTGACCATCCTGGGACTGTCTTCCGCTTCTGGATCCGACTGGTTCAAATTCTGCAGAATGGCCTGTCCATCACCACCAAAGACCCTAGGATTCTTGTCACTCACTGTCTGGTACCCAAGAACAGCTACAGCCCCTCAGGAGATTCTAAGGTAAGTGGGCACCATTGCTGCCTCCAGCCAAGGCCAGAGCTGAGCTATAGAGCTTAGGTGAGCTGGTATGTGGGCATCGTGTGAAGGTGATTCCTGCCTTAGGCCTTTTCTACTCAGTTTTATTGAGGTACAACGTACAACCATAAAATTCACCCGTTGTAAGTATACAGTTCAACACTTTCAGTAAATGTAGAGAGTTGTGCAACCATCACCACAATCCAGTTTTGGAACATTTCCATCACCCTAAACAATTCCTTTGTGCCTATTTGCAGTTATTCCCTGTTCCTACTTCCTGCCCTAGGCAACCACGGATCTGTTTTCAGTCTCTATTCACATTTCTGAGACATTTCAGATAAATGGAATCCTACAATATATAGTGTTTTGTATCTGGCTTCTTTCACTTAGCATAATGTTTTTCAGGTTCATCCATATCATAGCATGGGGCCAACTCTGTGGCAGAGTCACAGTTATCAATAATTCATTCCTTTTAATTGCTGAATAGTATTCCATTATATAAATATACCACATTTTGTTTATTCATTCACCAGTTGATGGATATTTCAATTGTTTCCAGTTTTTGGCTATTATGAATAATACTGCTATGAACAAGTTTTTGTATAGACATATATTTTCATTTGTCTTGGCTCGATTCCAAGGAATGAAATCACTGAGTCATATGGTAAGTTATGTTTAAACTGGGAAACTATTTTCCAAAGTGGCTGCACCATTTTACATTTCCACCAGTAATGCATAAGGGCTTCAGTTTCTCCACATCCTCACCAACAATGGTATTGTCTTTTTTATTAAAGCCATTCTAGTGGATGTGTAGTGTTTTTAATTTGGATTTCTTGAATGACTAATGATGTTGAGCAACTTCTCATGGGCTTATTAGTCGTTTATATATCCTCTTTGGTGAAAAAGGTCCAAATTGTCTATTCAAATCTTTTGCCCATTTTAAAATTAGGCTTTGTCTTCTTATTGAGTTGTAAGAGTTCTTTGTACATTCTGGGTACAAGTCCTTTATCAGATATATGATTTGCAAGTATTTTCTCCCAGTCTATGAACTTTTTCATTTTCTTTTTATTTTTTTTTTAAGATTTTATTTATTTATTTATTTTCCCCCCAAAGCCCCAGTAGATAGTTGTATGTCATAGCTGCACGTCCCTCTAGTTGCTGCATGTGGGACGCGGCCTCAGCGTGGTGGGAGAAGCGGTGCGTCAGTGCACGCCCGGGATCCGAACCCGGGCCGCCAGCAGTGGAGCGGGCTCACTTAACCGCTAAGCCACAGGGCCGACCCCCATTTTCTTAATAGTGTCTTTTGAGGAGCAAAATTTTTAATTTTTTTTTTTGTGAGGACGATCTACCCTGAGCTAACATCTGCCAATCCTCCTCTTTCTGCTGAGGAAGACTGGCCCTGAGCTAACATCTATGCCCATCTTCCTCCACTTTATATGGGACGCCACCACAGCATGGCTTGACAAGTGGTGCGTTGGTGCACGCCCGGGATCCGAACCAGCGAACCCCAGGCTGCCGCAGCGGAGCACGCGCACTTAACCGCCAGCGCCACTGGGCCGGCCCTAAAATTTTTAATTTTGGTGAAGTGCAATTTATCAATTTTTTCTTCTGTGGATCAGGCTTTTGGTGTTGTATCTAAGAACTCTTTGTTCAACCCAAAGTCACAAAGATTTCATTCTAATAAAATCATAATATCCTAAATTTATAGATTTAGCCCTTACATCTAGGTCTATGATCCATTTTGAGTTAATATTTGTGTATAGTATGAAGGAAGGGTCTAAGTGCTTTTTTTTGACATGTGGATATAAAATTGTCCTAGCACCATTTGTTGAAAAAGACTATCCTTTCCGCATTGAATTGTCTTGGCACCTTTGCCAAAAGTCAATTGACCATAAATGTAAAGATTTATTTCTGGATTCTCAATTCAGTTCCATTGATCTGTTTGCCTATTCTTGTGCCAATACCGCAATGTCTTTTTTTTTTTTTTTTGAGGAAGATTGGCCCTGAGCTAACATCTGTTGCCGATCTTCCTCCTTGCTTCCTTTTTTCTCCCTGAAGCCCCAGTAGACAGTTGTATGTCATAGTTGTACATTCTTCTAGTTACTCCATGTGGGACGCTGCCTCAGTATAGTTCGATGAGCGGTGCATAGGTCTGCGCCCAGGATCCAAACTGGCAAACCCTGGCCCGCGGAAGCGGAGGCGCAAACAACCGCTACACCACTGGGCCGGCCCCTACCACAATGTCTTGATTAATGCAGCTTTATAGTAAGTTTTGAAATTGGGTGATGTAAGTATTCCAATTTTTTTTTTCAAATTGTTTTGGCTATTCTAGATCCTTTGCATTTCCATATAAATTTTAGAATCAGCTTTTCAATTTCTACAAAAAGCATGCTGGAATTTTGATAAGGACATCTTGAATTTATGCATCAAGTTGAGGAGAACAGCCATCTTGACAATATTGTCTTCCAATACCTGTATGTGGAATGTCTTTCCATTTATTTTGATCTTCTTTAATTTCTCTTAGCAATGTTTTGTAACTTTCAGTACACAAGTTCTGCACTTTTTTGTTAAATTTATTCCTAAGTATTTGATTCTTGTTGATACTATTGTGACTAGAATCATGTTTTCTTAATTTCATTTTTGCATCATTCATTGCAAGTATAGAGAAATAAAACTTATTTTTGTATATTAATCTTGTTCATTAGTTATAGCAGTTTTTATGGATTCCTTGGGGTTTTCTACATACATACATACATGTTATCTGTGAATAAAGACAGTTTATTTCATTTCCAATCTGGATCCATTTGTTTATTGCCTTATTGCATTAGCTAGAACCTTCAGTACAATGTTTAATATAAGTAGCAAAAGCAGACATCCTTGCCTTATTCTCGATCTTAGGGGAAAACATTCAGTCTTTCATTAAGTATAATGCTAACTGTGGGATTGTTGCAGACACCCTTTATCAGGCTGAGGAAGTTCCCTTCTATTCCTTGTTTATTGAGAGTTTTTATCATGAATGGATATTGGATTTTGTCAAATGCTTTTTCTGCATCTATTGAGATGATCATGTGGTTTGTCCTTTATTCTGTTAATATAGGATATTATATTGATTTATTTTCAGATGTTAAACCAACTATGTGTTCCTGCAACAAATTCTACTTGGTCATGGTGTGCATAATCCTTTTTATATGTTACTAGATTCAGTTTGCTAGCATTGTCTTAAGGATTTTTGCATCTATGCTCATTCAAGATACTGGTCTCTGGTTTTCTTGTGATATCAGGCTTTGGTATGAGGATAATAATAGCCTTATTGAATAATTTGGGAAGTGTTACCTCCTCCTCTATTTTCTGAGTTTGTGAAGAATTGGTATTATTACTTCTTCAAATATTTGATAGAATTCACCAGTGAAGCTACCTGGGTCTTTTTACCCCAGGCCTTAGTGTGATGAATATAATCCTGATCTGAGCTACAACATAAACTCCGTGAAGATGGAGATTTTTATCTGTCTTTTCACTCTATTCCCAGTGCCTGGCACATAGTTGACATTCAATAAATATTGAATGAATGAATGAATGAATGAATAAGAGTGGCATGCACAACTAGAACACTTCAGGGTATCACAGGCAACAGGAGAGAAAGCGATTTTACCCAGGCATAAAAAGCAGCTCAATATAAGATTTTTCTAAGAGGAATTAATTTTTAAAACATTTGTTACATTCCTACAATAAATATTCGATCCCTCTACATTTAAATATAAAACCAAGTAGCATATGCTTTATTAAAGTTTATATTAATGGGCTATTCAATAACATATTAAGTTATGTTAATAAGAATAGTTTATCTACTAAATTATATTTAAAGTATTCAGGGATGATATTTTCCTTAGGACACCAAAGGATATTTATAACAATACAGGGGGCGTAAACAAACAGATATGGCCTCAGAATTGCCTCTCTGAGCAGCTGGCATGGCTGCCCAATGGAACAGTTTGAGTTCCAACACTTTAGGGTCTGGACCATGATATTAGGAAAATGCAGAGACCCTAAAGCCTTGACCACATGGTTTTGCTTTTTTTCTCCATCTAGTTAGTACAGAAGAAACTCCAGGCCTCCCAGCCCAGTGAGAGCCTCATGCAGCTGATGGCCAAGGGGGAGAGTGAGGCCCTCTCTCAGATTTTTGCCGACTTGCACCAGCACAACCAGTTCAGGTAAAATCAGGCCAGCCTGACATCCCTTCCTGCAGCCCAGATAGTCCAGGCCATGAGATCCAGAAACCAAGTAACCTGGTTACTGAGCACAGGGAGGGACATGAAACACTGCCACTCTGTATCCAGTCTTTATCTTTGACTCAGGCAACCTCTCCCAGTTCTCTGTGCCTTATTCTCCTTCTCCACACAGCAAGCATGGTAGGCTTGGCTCCAGAGGAGGAATTTTGTAAAAAATGAAATAAAAAGTTAGCAACACAGGTGGAAAAGTAAAACCTAATTTCTAATCCAGCTCCTAATCCTACAAAGAAATAACCAAAACGTTGTTTAAAACAGCGTCTACTCATTGGGTTCCTTTACTGACTTACCTGGCCTCTGCTTAGACTTTGTGGAGCTTCTGTGGTCATTTTCTAAAAAACCTCCATTGTGCAGGCCTCGCTTCTCCATGCCTAGGGAAATGTCCCTGTATGTACAGATGACTTAGGGTTGAGTCTTAAGACTGGCTGGTGTGAGAGACACAGGAGTTGAGAGCACTTAGACCACAGGGCACCATGGCCAGAGAGCAAGGAGAAAGTGGGAACCAGGGTCCTCATGAACCTGATTTGTGGGGTAAGAAAAGGGAGAATAGAAATAAATTAGTAAATGTCACCAGAAGAGTAAAACAAGGTGTCAGAGAGAAGGAGACTTTTGTCATTCAGAGACAGAGCAAAAAAAAGAGAAGTTTCTGAGTGCTGGTAATAAACTGAGAACCAGTAGAGCTCAGAGGAGGCAATCTCTCGTAGTGGGTAAGAGCTTGCACAGACCAGGGCCCAGGTCACTGCTCTGACCGTGAGCTCTTGGGCACATTGCTCTTCTGGGCCTCAGTTTTCAGATATGTAGAATGGAAATTATGATAATGCCAACCTCATGCAGATATTGTCAGGATCAAAGGAGCTCATACGCATCAAGAGTATGGCACCCTCCTCAGCAAATGTAGAGGCAGATATAAGTAAACTCTCAATAGATATTACCTTGTGTTATTAACTCTAATTTGGGCTGGCAATAGAAAAGTATCAACACGAGAAAAAGACTTATTAGTTGCCTGCTGTTAAAGAATTTATACTGGGGTCATCACTCTGTATATCTCAGAGAAATCTGTGATTAAGAAGTTTCTGGGTAAGAGGTCACATTGGTGAGCTGGAGAGCGCTGGACTCGCAAAGAGCAGGACATGTTGAAGCAACTTTTTTTTGGGGGGGGGAGGAAGATCAGCCCTGTGCTAACATCTGCCAGTCCTCCTTGTTTTTTGCTGAGGAAGACTGGCCCTGGGCTAACATCCATGCCCACCTTCCTCGTTTTTATATGGGATGCCGCCACAGCATGACTTGCCAAGCGGTGCGTCTGTGCATGCCCGGGATCCGAACCGGTGAACTCCGGACCACTGCAGCAGAGCGCGTGCACTTGACAGCTTGCGCCACCAGGCCGGCCCTTGAAGCAACTTTTTGACTGTCTCAAAATGTTAAATCACAGGTGTTTCTATTACTGTTTGAAGGCCAGCTTCTGTTTATATTTCTTGGCCACAATTCAGTCACCTGGCCACACCCAGCTGCAAAGGAGGCTGGGAAATGCGTTCTCCATTCTGCATAGCCATGAGCCAACACAAAATCAGATGCTTTGCCCCCAAGGGAGAAGGGAAGAAGGGATACTGGTGAGTTTAGAGAAAGGAAAGGAAGGGAAGAGAGGTGGAGGTGTAAGGACATAAGTAGCAGTGGGCAGCAGCCGAGCAAGGCAGGGCCTGGGAAGCCACGCGAATGAATTTAGACTTTGAGTGTAATGGGATCCTTAGCAGCATTTTAAACAGGGAAGTGATCCAATTTACATTTTGAAAAGGTCATGCTGGCTGTTGCAGTGACGGCTGATTTGAAGAGACGGAGAGTAGGTGTGGAGACACCAGCCAGGAAGCCATGGCAACCTAGTCTGGGCTGTCACATACAAAATGGATCAGAGGGATGCGAGAAACAGGGAAAAATTAATTTTTGCTTCAGAGGGATGCGAGAAACAGGGAAAAATTAATTTTTGCTTCACTGTTATCTCAATAATTGCTTTGTACAGACATTTAGTTTCTTCTCTTTAATTTCCCAGAATAAAGCCCTGAGTGATGATTTTTCTCCTCATTCAGGCAGGTTCTAGTCTGGTTACAATTATATCAGATTTTGCACATTGGCAACAACATGCAACTTACAGCAAACAAAATAAACGGCTGAGACACAGGACTGAACAGATGGAGTTATATCCACTCATCCTCAGCAAAATCAGCAGCATGGGTTCTGCTCCCCACCACCCCACCCCATCCCACCTCCCCAGCCCATCCCACCTCCCCTTCCTTATTTTCTTCTGCTACTTTAATGTGCGTCACACCCACGCAGTAGAGCCACAGCTGGCCTTCTTCATATTTATATCTGCATCTCAAACTTTTGCATCAGGAAAAATATAACTAGAAACAAGACTTGAAATGAGAGTTTCATGCTCTATTCTTTTCCTTTTGACCTTCATTTCCTTGATCCTGAAATGGCTGGAGTTCCAGGAGCAGCAAAAAGACAGACACCAAAAAGGACAGCTCAGGTAACAGAGGGCACAGGGCACCCGTGTCTCGGAGAACTTTATGCACCGCAGTTGTAGGAATAAGATCCCCTCCAGCTCCCTACCCGGCTTTCCTGGTGCTGTCAGGGTTGCCACCATCCTTCCATACCTTAGTGAGTTCCTCTAGGCTCTTTGGACAACATCATCAATTTGGCACCAAATCCTACCAATTGCTTTCTTTGAAATGTTTCTTACATCTTTTACTTCATTTCTACTCCCACAGATGCTACCTAGTCCACCTTATCACCTCATGCCTGGACTACTGCAGTAATCTTCCGCTAGTTCATTAATTCATTTATTCATTCAAATACATGCGTCGAGCACTTGGTAAGTGCCGAACACTGTCGAAGGCTTTGGAGTCCCAGTGAAGAAAGACACAGTACCTCCTTCAAGGGGTTTATCATTTGGTAGAGTCAGATGGGTAAATCCTAAAATTACAAAACCTCTCCCTCCAGGCAACATTCAAAGCTCATGCCTGGGGTGCTTCAGAAGCACAAAGACAGGGGGTCCCTCACTCTCCCCAGGAAGCTATCCTGGAAGGCCTGGGACGTAGGTGAGCTGAGTCGTAGAGGAGGGTACAAGTGGGCTGGCTGAAGTGGATGAGGCAGGGCATTCTAGGAAGAGAACCTGTGTGACAGAGCACGACACATTGTGGAAACAGCAGCCAGCTTCCTATTTATTTCCAGGTTCCAGTTTACCCCAAATCCACGCATTTTGGCATGCATGACCCTGCATAAACGTCCTCTATTTTACCCATCTCACCTGATGGCTCACTCCTCAAATAAGAGCCCTCTGTCTCATCTTCTCCAGCCAAAATCTTCTACTCTAGCCAAATCTTAGCTATGGGGAACATGCCTCATTCATCCCCTCTCTGTTCCCTTTCCCCCGATGCTCCACGCTAAATCCTACCTATCATTCCAGATACACCTCACAACACCATCCTGCCCAGATGAATCTTGCCCCAGGTGAATCTTGACTTAGTTATAACCTCTCTTACGTTATTCCCTAATTATTTTGTAGGTTTAAGTCTTGTTTCTTCAACCAATACTAAATTTTTTTCATTTCTCTGAATTATCCACAGCAGCAGAGCTGGGAACACAACAGGAGCTCAATTAATATCTGTGCACCACACCACTAATAAATTATTCCTCCAAATTGGCTCAGGAGGCAGCCAGAATATCATGTTATATTTAGAAATTTAGAGGAATCTGTAGACTCCAGGGGAGCTCTGCCAACTTTCATCCATTCCAGGGATTACAAACTCAAGTACCTGCAGGTGGAATAAATGGGTAAAGAGTCTAGGTGATGTGGATATAAGAAATGGTTAACTTTTCTTTCAACTCTGTCATAAGTAAAACAACAGCTTGGCTGACACTTGAATTTAGCATTGAGGAGACAATAGGGAGTGGTGGGGACAGTGGCAACGAGAAACGAAGGTTTCAATTAAGGCTTCAATTAATTGTTGCCATGCTGGAACACAGGCCTGGTGTTGCCAGATGATCTGATTTTTCAAGAGAAGCCAAAAATATGGATTTTTATGTGACATATTCTCCACCCCATAAAAAATTAAAGCACAATATACGCCAACACTTAGTGGGCAAACAAAATATACCTGCAGACCAAATTCAGCCTGGAGGCTGCCAGTTCACAGCCCCTGCTCTACATGGTGAGGAGAGCTGATGCTGGCTCACATCTTCTCTAAGTCTATGAATGCTTTCTCACGTTATGTGACTGATAATACAATGGTGATTCATTTCTGTTTTTACACATATATTCAAACACACACACAAACACATACACCATACCCCATGAAGTTAGGGTTGAGGAAAACAGAAATAGAGAATATTTCAAACTTATTTCTGGGACTTCAGAGAACAGCTTGAGGATATCTGGTGTGAGGGAAACTACCCCTCCCAAGATGTCCCTAGGCTGATTTCAATTAATCATCCTGGGATGTCCTCAGGACACTTCTCTTTCCTTGGAGCTGAAGAAACTTCTCTTTTCTCTCTGGGCTCAGTAGTGTACTCTTTCACTTTGGAAGGACAGTCACACCTAAGCCTCTTTGAACTTTTGAATGAAAAGTGAGAGAGAGAGAGCGCACTACATTTGGAAAAACCAGTGTCCCAAACCTTACCTGTGTGGCTGAACCTTTCAACTCCCCATCAGCGGGTGGTGTGGCCTATTGCACTGCTTCCCAAACTTTAATGTGCAGACAGTCCCCTGGGGATCTTGTTAAAATGCAGATTCTGAATCAGTGGGTCTGGGTGGATCTGAAACTATGCATTTCTAACATGCTCCCAGGTGATGCCAAAGCTCCTGGGCTGCGAGCCACCCTTTGAGTAGCTGAAGCCAAGTGGACCAAGAACAGGCTCTGGCTTGAGGCCACCTGGGTTCAAGGCCATTGCCAGTTCAGCAAACTGAATATCCTGGGGAGATTCACTCGGTTAACCTCTCCAAGCCATATAGGTTCCCTCCTTTTACTGGCACTGCCTTGTTCACGTGATGTCGTGGTAAAAACACGGGCTCTGGAGCTGGGCTGCCTGGCTCTGCCTCCTCATTATATGACCATGGTTAAGTTACTTAACCTTGCCCAGCCTCAGATTCCTCACCCGTAACATAGGGACTATGGCAGCACTGAACTCTCAGGGTTGTTTTGAGGATTAAAAGAGCATTAATGCATGTAATTGTTTGGAATAGTGCCTGGCCCATAATAAGCACCCCACAAATGTGGGCCATAATCTGTGAGCATGCTCTGTGAATTAAAGTACAAACAAATGCATTCCCTTTTTGACCTAGAGAAAGATACTCCCGGTGAAGACTGCATCCCTTGCACCCGTGACCTCAGTTGGAGGGATTCGCTCACCTATGGAGAGTGGGAAAGAGAGAACCCCTCTGGGCCGCAGCCCCTCTCACTCCTCAGCACTCTGGCAGCCTCCACAAGGCCACAGCTGACCCCACTCATAGGTACAGTCATGGGATTAATCTGGCTGCCTTCATGGGACAGGCCTGGAATTCCATCTCAGGCTCACCTAGGTTCAGGTCCTAGGGTCCTGGGGTGATTCCAGGAAGCTGTGGGGTGGGAGTGGAGGTGCCAGCCACAGCCACCTCAACCCTCTTTTTCCTGCCCTGTTCTTCTCTACCTTCAACTGGGCTGAGTGAAACCCTAAGCATGGCACCTCCAGAGCCCCCAGAGGCCCCTGGGAGTTCCTGCAAGTGGCTCTGAATGGAGACCAGGATGACGCTATTGTCACTAGAGCTGCTTTCTCCCTGCTGGGTGGGAGGCATGAGGGTTCCTGTGGGCTCTTCCTTCGAGGAGGTGGGGAGCTGGCTCTCCCTTTTCCTTTCCAGAGCTCTGGGGGAGCCCCAACCTTCTGCTGCGGAGGGTAAGAAGGAGCTAGGCCAAGAAGGGTGGGAGTCAGACTTCTCTGGGGCCCAACCCTTATCTCTCCATGCTCCAAGTCTTATCCACCCATCCACGTACTCATTTCACAAACATTCGTTAAGTACTCCCTATGTGCCTCTGTCTGACCAGAGAAAGATCCCTAAAGAAGGTAGGAGTGGTTTATACTTTCTAAAGTAAAATACTATTAATAAACCACTAACTCTTACAAGATACCTGTTATTAATAGTTGACAAAAAAATTAACATAAGTATCTATGTGCTCACAGGAGACCTTTTTAGGCAGGTGATGTCCTCTTGAGCATTATTCTCTCCTATACTAACAGGAAATTCTATCTGAACCACCCTTTCACACTGGAGAGAATCTACGCAGCCCTCACCAAAGCCACTCTGCAGCATTCATCTTTCTGAGGGGCTCTGTCTGGATGGAGGGGAGGAGAAAGCTGCAACTACAGGAAAATAGAACCATCTCACGCTGATAGCATAGCCTTTCCTTGGAGAACGATTTGGGAGCATGGCTCCCGGACGAGAAGCATTATTCCAGCATTATTCCAGCACGTAACTTCATGTCCTCACCACCACACCTCACCTCCGTTCCACCACCAGACGGGCACAGGAGGACATGCTCTCAGGATGCCCAGGACCAAGAGATGGAGAGAAGGAAGGAAAGGGAAACAGGACCAGAGGAGAAGTGGAAAAGAACAAAATGGAAGTGAAGAGGAAGGTGGAGGGAGGAAGTCAGAGAAGAGGGGAGATACGGAGAGGTGGTAACAGAAAGAAATAGAAGAGAGTTGGGAGAGAAGCTGAAGAGGACGAGAGAAGAAATACACTGCTGAGAGATGCCAAGCTTCTATTTATCTAATTTAACTTGAAAGTAAGGCCATATACCAAAAAAGAAATATGTTTTCTTCTCTGCTCAGATTACTCTGGACAAGTATGAGGGGTCAGAAATGAATTCCAGCCATGGGATTCTCCTTAAATTTCCCTTTCTACCAGTTTTTCTTGTTAGTGCCTCTTTTCTGATTCAAGCTTTGGCCTTCTTCCTTAGCCCATTCCCTATCTGAGACTTGCTAGCCTGGCCCTGGTGTTCCAAATGGAGGTTTGGGGTTGAGGCTGCAGAAACGTTCCTGCAGGAGGTGGTAAGACAAGGTGTGTGAGGAAGGGAAATTTCTCTTTTGTATTCAAACTTTCCAAGTCTGCTAATATCTCAGCCCTACAAACACTGGCTCAATTTCTTTTGCATATGACACCCCCTTGAAATGTCAACATACCTTGTTAGTGCTTATTAAATTAGTGATTCCAAAGAGAGGAGACACAGGCTCAAAGCATAGGTAACTCAGAGATTTCAGGCTCAAAGTATAGGTAAAATCAGGGGTTCACAAATTATCAATCAAGAGAGTGTCCCTTGCCCGGTGGCCTAGTGGTTATGTTCGGCGCGCTCTGCTTCAGTGGCCCAGGGTTCAGTTCCAGGGCATGGACCTACACCACTTTTCAGTGGCCATGCTGTGGCAGTGACCCACATACAAAATAGAGGAAGATTGACACAGATGTTAGCTCAGGGCCAATCTTCCTCAAGTAAAAAGAGGAAGATTGGCAACAGATGTTAGCTCAGGGCCAATCCTCCTCAGCAAAAAAGAAGAAAAGGGGGCTGGCCCTGTGGCTCAGCGGTTAAGTGCGCGTGCTCCACTACTGGCAGCCCAGGTTCGGATCCCAGGCGCGCACCGACGCACCGCTTCTCTGGCCATGCTGAGGCCGCGTCCCACATACAGCAACTAGAAGGATGTGCAACTATGACATACAACTATTACTGGGGCTTTGGGGAAAAAAGGGAGGAGGATTGGCAATAGATGTTAGCTCAGAGCTGGCCTTCCTCAGCAAAAAGAGGAGGATTAGCATGGATGTTAGCTCAGGGCTGATCTTCCTCACAAAAAAAAGAAAAAAAGAAAGAGTGTCTCTCAGATGACCCATGGACTGGCCTCTTTGTTTAAAATGCACAATATTTCATATTCAATAAACCAGACAATGAGTATTTCAGAAAACCTGCTCAACTTTCCAATTAGAAAGGTTTTTGGGATGTCCTGCTTTGATTTAAGACATCCTAGGAGGCTCTTTTTCTTCACTGAAGTGGTTTTCAGACTGAAATGGTTGGAGGGCTACAAAGTGAGCTCCTAGATCACCATCACTCTTTCCAAGGATGACTTATGTCCTAATTCTTGGTGATTTCAAAATCCACATAGATGAATCGTCCTATAACCTGGTCACTGTTCCTTGAACTGCTGCCCAATGGTCCTGTCCTCCACCCTCTTCAGCCACTGACACCCATGATGTTACCCGAGAGTTTGTCATTAATAACTGCATACCACCCCCTTATTCCCACCCTCCAGCTATCCCACCTCCTAACTTTCCCCCTGAGTCCAATAATCCTTCGATCCCCCCAATCCTACAATCTATTGCTCCTTCTGGGTTTTCTCTGTCCCTCACTCTCCTCACGTCCTCATTTCCCTTCCCTCCATCCTAGATTACGTGATGAATCATTATTATTATCACTCCCTTGCATGCACCCTCAACACCTTTGTGTCTCTTCCACTATAATCACTTGGCTAAGTCCAGCTCTCCACCAACTCCATGCCTGCACATGCTGCTAAACTTGCCTAGAGAAAATACATGACATACTAACCAGTCTCACCTCAAAGTCATAATCACAAGCCTCAAGAGGGTCCTTAATGTTGCCTGGAGATCACACTGTGCTCCCCTCATCTGTTCTCTGCTGAATGGCTATTTCACACCTTCTCTCTCCTCAAACCCCCAATGCCTCCTGATGACCCAGCTTCCCATTTCACTGAGAACACAGTAGCAATTGAAAGAGAACTCCAAGCTCTCACCACCATGTCTACCACTTACCTAGAACCAGACCCATGGATCTAGTTTCTCTCCTTGTTACTATGGAAGAACTGTCTCCGCTCTAAGCAAAGTTTAACTCTCTCCCTTTGGTACTGGATCTCATCCCATCTCACCCACTCAAGGACATTGCTCCAGCACCTCTCCCCTCTTTTTCCTACATCATCAATTTGATCCTCACTCCTGGATCCTGCGCACCAGTAATAAACAAGCTGGTATTTCTTCTAAACATACTGTTATTTCTTCCATTTTAAAACAGAACAAAATAAAACAAAACCTCTCTTAGCCCCTCTGTCCCCTCTGCTTCATTTTTCTCCACCCCTTTAAACTCCTTGAAAGGGTTTCTAATTTCTTGCTTCCCATTCTCTCTTGAACCCCTCCGGGAGGTTTTTGTACCCACTACCCCACCAAACCTGACCCCCACATTGCTAAAGCCAATGGCCAACCAGTCCTTACCTCACTGTTAGCAACATGTGACATATGTGATTACTTCTTTCTTCTTGAAACACTTTCTTCACTCGGCTTCTATAACACTGCATTCTCCTGGCTTTCCTCCTCCTTCACTGGCTTTTACTCTCATTTCCTTTGCTGCTTCATTCTCATCAACACCCCTCTACCATCTTTGAACATTAGAAATTTCCAGGGCCTGCACCATGGCTCAGCGGTTAAGTGCGCGCGCTCCGCTGCTGGCGGCCCGGGTTCGGATCCCGGGCGCGCACCGACACACTGCTTCTCTGGCCATGCTGAGGCCACGTCCCACATACAGCAACTGGAAGGATGTGCAGCTATGACATACAACTGTCTACTGGGGCTTTGGGGGGAAAATAAATAAATAAATAAATAAATAAATAAATAAATAAAATTTAAAAAAAAAGGAAATTTCCAGGACTCAGTCCTTAGGTCTCTTCTAATCAAAACTCATGGCTTTCATACCACATATACACCAATTACTCCCAAATTTGTATCTCTAGTCCAGACCACTGGAAACTCCACAGATACATATCCAACTGCCTACTTAGCATCTCCATTTGAATGTCTAACAGGCATCTCAACACGTCCAAAAACAATCTCTCAATATTATCTTCCAAAACTTGCTCCCCGCAAAGTCTTCTCCATCCTAATAAATGGCAGCTCCACTTTTCTAGTTGCTCAAAATCTTGGAGTCATCCTTGACTCCTCTTGTTCTCTCCACTCCATTACCAACACACCAGGAAATCCTTTTAAACTACTTTCAAAACATATTCAGAATCTGACACTTCTCACTATTTCCACTGCTACCACCCTGGATCAGGTCATCATCATCATCACCTGGATTGTTGTAAAGCCTCCTAAGTGGGCTCCCTGTTTCTAACGTTACCCTCTTCAGTCTAATGTGACCCTTTTAAAGGCTTAGCTCATGTCACTTCTCTGCTCAAAATCTGCCAATGGCTTCCCATCTGTATTAGGATAATGCTGGCTCTGTAAGAGATAAACCCAGTGTATCAATGGCATAAAACAACCAATAGAAGTTTATTTCTCACAGAAAGTCCAAAAAGGGTGTGCCTGTTTGGTGAGTGGCTCTTTAACAGGAAACTGGGCTCCCTGCAGGTTGTGACTTTGCCATCTGCACTACACGGCTTCTAGGGTTGCCACAGAAAGAGAAAGAGCTTGAAGAATCACACACAGCAGGTTTGTATGGCCAGTACTGGAAGTAGTGGATATCACTTCTGCCCCTCTTCCTTTGGCCAGAGCTCAGTCACATGGCCACACTGCATGGGAGGCTAGGAAATGTAGTCTAGCTGTGTTCACAGGATGAAGAGGAAATGGTTTGCTAAACAGCCAGTCTCTTCCACACCATCTCACTCATAGTAAAAGCTAAAGTCTTTACAATGGCCTAAAGGTCCTACATGGCGTCCCTCTCCCCTTTGCCCCCATCCCTGTTTCTACTTCTCTGACCTCATGTCCTCTACTCCTCAATTACTCCACTCCAGCCACACTGGCGTCCTGCTGCTCCTCAAACACTCCAAACATGCTTCAGCTCAGGGCCTTTGCCCTTGCCATTCCCTTTTCCTGGAATGTTCTTCACCACCTTCAGATGTTCACTCACACCTCACCTTCTTCATGAGCCCTCTCTGGCCACCTTTCTAAGATTGCAACATCACTCCTGATAGTCCCTACACTCCCTGTCTCCTTTCTTGCCATATTTGATTTCTTAGTACTTATCACCACCTCTCATTCTATACATTTTTCTTTTTTATCTGGTTTTATTTTGGCTACATACCAGAATATAAGCACCACCAGAGAGTGTAGTCCATTTTGTTCACTACCGTATCGCTAGTGCCTAGAACAGTATCTGGCACACAGAAAACAATATATTTGTGGAGTAAATGTTCAGTAGCACCATATGAACAGAGTTGGGATGCCTGAAGGACATTACCCTTTTGAGGTTGACATCATTATACCTGCCACAAACAGTCCTTCAGTGCTTCTCTCAGAGATAGAATCCAGGGCTAGATGGGCCTTGAGTGCAATTGAGGTGACATTTCTTATGTGTGTCACCCCCCAAGTCCTTTCCTCCTCTACCCACCTTCTAACTCTGGAGCTCCCAGGAGGTCTAATCTGCTTTTCTCTCCTCAGAAAGCTCATTTGTTCTCATGGCTCCATCAGCTGCCTCTTGGCCAATGACCCTTCTAAGTATCTCCTCCAGCCTATTGGCTCTTTCTTTTTAGATGTTCTGCCATCACCTTAGATTACTATGTCTTGAACTCAATTCACTATTTCTCTCATCTTCCACTCATGTAGTCATTCTCCCAGTTTCCTATGATTAAAACTTTAAATTTTTGAGTGCTGCTCCTTCATTTCTTTCATCCAAGCAGTCAATAAATCCAGGATTTGTTTTCCACTTTTAAAAGTTCTCTTGTATATAAGTGTTCATTACCATTTCCCTTTCTCTGCCTAGGCCAGGCTCTTATCCACAGGGAATCTCAGGATTGGAGGGCCACATCCCTGGCAGAGTCCTGCTACCTCATCCAGCCTCCTTTAGGACACTTCCAAGATGGGTGGCTCTCCCACTAGGCTACAGTTTTGTAAGGGCAGGGACCATGCCCTCTTCACTGTGGGTTCACCAGCACCTAGCATAGTGCCTGACTTCAAGGAGGTATTTTTAAAAGTTTTTTAAATACCTCCGGATGCAGCCTGTTTTATAGTTAATCCTTATTAGGAGGGCCGGCCCCGTGGCTTAGTGGTTAAGTGCGCGCACTCCACTACTGGCGGCCCAGGTTCAGATCCCATGAGCGCGCCAACGCACTGCTTCTCCGGCCATGCTGAGGCCGCGTCCCACATACAGCCACTAGAAGGATGTGCAACTATGACATACAACTATCTACTGTGGTT